CGAGAGATTTAAATGCGAACGATTCTGCCAGTCTGTGGAGATAAACAAAAATGTTATACCAGAGGTACAGATCGCTTTTTGGAAAGTATATAGCCGGAGAAATAGAATATAACAAATGGTATATATGTTCCTAAACTGGTCTTGAGAAAGTGCGAATAATATTTCGTTGGTCTTTAAACTAAGCAAAATGCAGCATTCGCTGCACCTCGAGACAAGTATCCACCTTATTCTCCAAAAGAAAGTACCTATTTATTCTGAGTTGTCTAGCAACAGTGTGGTATGGTTTACAAGAAGCATATTTTGACATGATGCCTGAAAGCTGGAATAGTAGATTCAGAAAAGCATCATTGCTAGGCAACGCCTCGGTGAACACGTTCCCGCCGTACATAATTTTCAAAGCAATAGAGGAAGTGTTGAGACCGGTGTTTTTTTTATCGGGTCAGACCCGAACAAATGTTGCGCTTCCTCGGAGAGACCAGCTCCTCTCTCAATGAAGAGGAGGCTTCATTTCAGAACACATAAATGGCCTTGGAACGAAAAAATTTGGTGATGATTCCCGACGGGGTCCGGAAACAAGAATGACTATTTTGCCTGAGAAACAGACTGCTAAATTGCTCTGGGCCCTCGCCAGCACACTGGTTCTTGGTTCCGAGTCCCTTGGAACTCATGATTTAATTTTACTGTCTGGCGGATCTGGGAGCCTGCAGGCCACTCTGGCTCTGACTGTACTGGCGAAAGCCAGCAGCAGTTCATCACACCGGCCGCAGCAGCCAGTCAGAGTTGTGAGACAAAAATATGGTCATGGTTCCCGTGGGGTCCGAAACCAAGAATGACTGTGCTGGCAGAGGCCAGCAACAAATTACCGGACCAGAGCAGCAACAAATGCTGGCGAAGGCCAGCAGCAAGTCATAGAATGATCAATCCCTCCACTCATCGAAGAGAAAGCTATATTTTTAAACCAGTAAATTGTATTGGGACGAGGAAAAATGTGGTCATGTGTCCCGACTGCGCGCGAAACCAAGAATGTCTGTGCTGGCGAAGACCAGCAGCAAATGGCATAGTCGGCAGTTGTCAGACCCCTCCTCTGGTCCAAGAGGAGGTACTATTTCAAAGCACGCAAGCAGTCTTCAAACGAAGAGAAGTATGGTCATGGATCCCAACGGGGTCCGAAACCAAGAATTACTGTGCTGGCGAAGGCGAGCAGCAAATTGCTAGAACCCGATAATTTATTGTCACCACTGCCAAAGGTTTCCTTTTGACACGATTCACTGTCTCCACATCCTAGCTATGTGCCCAGGCATCCTGGATTCCTTCATTTCGCTATCTAACAATATCTGGCAACCTATAAATTATGAAGTTCTGTTGTCATAATCTTTGTGCGTGCTACATTCTCTGCGTATCTCACTCATTTATTTAATTATCCTCATCGTCACTACTCATAGTTTATTATCGCATTCTACGGTAATTTTCGTCTTACAGGATAAATAAAAAATGTGACAATCTGTCGGTAGCTCGGGCTGTGAATTGGAAGGGACGTAGAAGAAATCTGTCATGGCTGAAGGCATTCATTTCCCGCATAAACCTCCAAGCTTGCATAAATATATAAATTTTATTTGAAGAAACCCTAATAAGAAAATAAATTTCAATGAACTAAATTTACTTCCATGAAAGAACGCTATCCTAAGTGTTCTTCGTGCTTTACTCTATTATGATGTTGCTTACCGGAAAGTTTCTAAGTTTCATAGAGAAGTGAACTGGATTTAATTCACTTAGCTCAAGCTGAAGTCCAAGGGTGGGTTCCGTGAAAATGGCAATGGAACATTTGGTCCTATAGAAGCAGGAAATTTGTTTGGCCTGCTCAGAAATAATCAGATTTCGAGAACACCCTTCATCATCCATCAGTTCCTGGAATTACTACAATATCACATATCATATCACAGAGCAGCTTATTTGCAGTGACCCAGAGGTTGAATTAACATGAACCGATAATCATAGCCTTAAACTCACACATTTCAAGGCGAAAGAGATAAAGGAGGAGGAGGAAGGAATTTGAAGAGAAGCAGAGAAATTGGAACAAGCAGAATAAATGAACATCGCTCTCAACCAAAAAGGAGGGACACATCACAGACACAGCACACACAGAAACGACTCCCACAGCGGACGAACCATACAATACGCGAGTTTGAATTAAGACATATAGATGAATAATCTTAACAAGTTTTAGTGTATACAAATTTTATTATAGTTGAAAAATAATGTACTTTCTAAATAATTTTATGAAAGACACAAGATGGCAAACAATGTAATAGCTTAGCGTAAATAACGAACCTGAAGATGGCACTATGTTGCCGAAACATGTAGTAAGAAGCGATATATGAAATTGAGTGCACTACAAGAAGGCCATTACATATGTATCATGGATGAATAAATGAAGAATGATAATTAGCCACAATTTAGGACTTGAGTTTTAGTGATCAATTAAGACATCTGTATGTGGATCAGAGAACACCCTGAGAATGGAGGTAGTGCGTCCTTGCGAAACGTTCGTAACTATTCATGCAGCGCTGTATCGTAAGCGAGATACCCCCAATAGGAGTATGAATTCTGACTGCCGTTGAAATCTCTGTGGAAGCCACCGACACCCTAGTCGCAATAACAGTCTAGAACCAATCCGTTGCTACGCAACGACTCAGTAATCAGGTTTCCGCGTCGACACATTCTGGTAAAGAACCCGTTGCTAGGTAGTACGTGACAACAGCAGACGTCCGTTTTTATGCAATTGATGTGTTTTCTGTGACGTCCGACCCGAAGTTTTATAAGAGGAAGATACATCGATAAGATTTATGAAGGGTGGAAATTTCCTTGACAGACTGAGCAACGACTAGATTCTGGTGTAGTACTGTACTCTATAGGGTTAGATTCCGCTAGTTAATTACTTACATAAACATATTATCGCGTGTATACTAGGTAACGCGACAAGAAAAATTGTGGGGGGGTTTCGGATTTGACGAATACGTTTATTGGACCATCACTCAGTTACACTCACCATTACAATTATTCGCCTATAACGCCCTTTTAGACGAAGCGACCTTATTGGTCCGTCTTCTCTCTGCGTTGGTTCTTCAACGTTTACACTTGCACCGCTATTCTCGGTGAAGTGTCTTGGCTCTTCGTTCTTCGAAGCTGGACTGTTATGTCCTACGCTCGGACTGAATAGAGATCACCTTGTCGAAGGGTTCGGTTTTGCTGCTGTCATGCAACTGCCTCAGACAATTCGTTACGGTGGAAACCTCACTGTTAAGTTTTAGTGTTGTTGAAGCGATTTCATAGGCAACGGGCTGCTTATATTGCGTTTCCTGGGAATTCCTAGCCGTTGACCAGCGATGGGCGTCTTATAGTCCGGCCTTCCTGGTGGCGCGTCACAATATATTTTAGTGCAGTTTTTTTGCCATGAACGATGTTTGGGAAGTGGCAAACGTCCTACACACCGATCATTTTCGATACTTAAAGGACCGGATAAGTAGGCAAGTAGGTGGCTTGTCTGCGGTGGTCTACAGGTGTAGAACACGATCGTCATCGATTGTACTGAGGTGTTGGGAATAGTCATTATCATTGTAGGTCTGCCGAGAACTAGTGTCTCCAGCCTCCAGTCCAGTGTGTTGAGGCTTCTGTGTATCTAGGCTTGAAGATGTAATTTTTACTCTTACGAGACCTCATATACTAAGCGTAACTGACTTTTACACTATGTCCCCTGGGGTATAACACTGAGTAGTTCCTTGAAGATCAACTAACGTTTCGGAGGAACGTGTATCCTCCATCTTCAGGGTTGAAGAATAAACCGAAAAAGAAACCAGCAGATCCAAGCTGAGTTTGCTAACTGCATCATGTAAGTATCTTGCATAGCTTATCCGACAAACATGAAGATGGAGGTGACATGTTCCTTCGAAATGTCGGTTCATTTTGCAACGGACTACAGAGCGTTATATAACAGAAGATAGAACTCTTCGCTTATCAACTGGTTTTCAACGTTGACTTCGGGAATAGGAGTTTAGATGCCATGATATTACCCATCTGCTGATATAGAGAGTTGCTGACTTCAGCCATTTCAGGAACCTTCATATGGGCCTGTAATTGTTTGAGCCTTTTCCCGCTTATTGAAATTATGAATAAACAGAAGCACCCACGGAAGTGTATGTCACTAGTCGGACGTTACGTCGCCTTGATGTAGGTAGAAAGAAATACAAGTTCTGCGAAGCTGCGTCGTATTCAAACAGAACCAGAAAATGTTCAAATACATAAACATTCCGCGGGATACACTTCTGCCTTCTCATATAAAATAACCGCAGTAGACCTACGAAGGTAAACGTAAAGCAATCCCTGTAACAGGCCATGGAGGCCCATAGGGTTGTGAGACGTCGAGGCTCTCGCCTTTTCTGGACAGTTAGGTCAGAGATGGCGGTGAGGTCAGCTTTACGCGCCGGTCCCCTTTTACCCCCCAGGAGGATCCCTGGTACTCATTTCTGTTAGAGGCTGAGTCGACTCCGGGGCCACAGTACGGCTGGAAGGATTAGGTAAAGTAAACATTCAGTGACTTCATTGGGAATCGAACCCGCGACCTTTCGGCTTGCAGCATAGTGCCTGAACCAACTACGTTACCGCGCGCCTCCGGTAGTAAGCCTGTATAAACGGAAATGAGTTACGGAAGTAACCAGGAACTACAGACGATAGATGAAAATCTTCATGGAATCTCACTCCCACCTTCTTTTTGTTTGGAAATTACCGGTATAAATGTAATGTCAGGAGGACGGATGTTGTCATTAAGGCTTTGTTATCCACGGACTGGAGCAACAATAGGACTAGTGGTTGCGCAAGAGGAGGTGCGAGGAGACGATTGGAAATCTTGAGGGGGGCGGGCCCAGTGGTCTCCATGGCAACGGTGTGGCGCGCGAGACCCAGAGTCAGTTTTATTGCGGGCCCGTGTGGGTAGTGTATCACGGGATTTGGCCAAGTGCAGACCGGGCACGTTATTAGGGCGATAATTTGGATACTGGACACACGTTGAACTCGACTTAATTATAATTACTCATCTCCCATCCTAATTATTAACTATACCTATTAACCGTCATAGGTGCAGCTTTAGTGTCACCGCTGTTGCAAGTTTCCTACTTCATTAGTCCAGTCATGAATCTAGTTTAATTGGGCATGAAACGTTCGCCATGGAGAGTGAAAGTAGTTAGGTTTACGTGCAACATGAATACAGATGTAACATTATACTACTAAGTAATTGAAATACTAATTTTAGATGTTCATATTATTGCAGCTGTATGCGGAATATTCTGATTGAAGCCAATAATACTTTAAAAATGCAAGAAAAATCTACAGGCTTAATGAACGCTCTGTTAACTCTGCCACAGAAACTCTTAAGTGAACCGATGATCTTGTTACGTTTCTCGAATCACAAAGAAATATCTAAGTGTAAGCTATAGCTATCTACTATTTAAACTGCATTTAAATTTAATGTTTTCTATTCGTGATGACATCAGTCAGTCCCACGAGAAGATACATGTTGTGATCCGAAACAGAAGACGTGTTAGACATAGCAGTGAAAGATGGCTGCAGGTTGTACTGACTGAAACCGTTCATCATTAAGGCCACTTCTGTTTTCTTCAAAGTCAATCCCTGTGTGAAGCCAGTCAACATGTTGTGCTACGTAAGTAGTCCATACCTCGTAGTTCTAAGAAAGAGCAAAAAGTAGCATGCTTCTCACTTTCAGCTTTAACTTGTAAAAGTATCGAAAAAGTAATGTTTATGAAGTTTAATAGTTTAAGAATTTGCTAAACCTTAAACTGAATATGAATCTCGTTAGTAAGCGTGCTTTGTGGACGGCGCATCTGCAAGGCAAACTTTTATATATATTTATTAGAAATCAGGATTAAATACAATCCTTAAGCTAATTTGCTAATTTAAACGTCCTCGTGTGCTTATTATATCGTGATGAGGGCTCCTCCAATGAGGGATCCTCTTCAACCTTCAAGTAGATCTGCTGGCCATAATTTCTTTAGCCTTCTTCGTTGTTGTTGTTCAGTGGGGGCTGCAGTAATGTATTGCTATGGTGTCCTAGTTTATCATGATGTGTTATGCTTTTCTCTTGGATGACTTCTTTGATCGTCATGTAGTGTTTGATTAGTCACATTTTTTTTCCTGTGGCGCTACAGCCCCAATTTGTGCCTAGGCCTACCTCCATGAAACTCTCCGTTTCACTTCGGTTTACTAGATCTTACACATTCGGTAGGACTCCTTGGGCGGGTGATAACCTCGTCGCAAGGCCTCTACCTGTGGACAAACACAGAAAAACGCACACAAACATCCATGCCCTGAGTGGGATTCGAACCCACGATCCCGGCTTCCGAACGAGCGAAGATAGTGCATGCCTTAGACCACTCGGCTACCGTGACCGGCTGATTAGTCACATACCAAGGTGAATTTGTGATCATCCGCAGTATTTTGGACTGTCTTCGTTGCATTATGGCTATGTTCGATTCCATAGGTCCAAATAGGCTTTATGATTGTCTTGTAAAGAAGGACTTTACTATCAAGCGATGTGCTAGATTTACTTCCAGTGATCCAATGTATGTCTTTTACTTTTAGGTCTACCTGTTTTCTTTTTTTGTTTGGCCACTTCTTTATCGCATAGAGGAATCACGTATGACAGTATTCTAAATTGACGCCTGTTTTTTGAAATGTCAACCATGTAATCGCCTTCATTGTTGTCATCAGTAACAATTACTCGGTTTGGGTTCTGTTAACCCATAGACTCCTATAGATGGTCTGACCGTCTCTTCCTTGGTCTTCCAAGACGCTTAGCTCCTCGTGCTATGTTAAAGCCTTTTCAAGTATGTGTATATATATGTATACACACATGTACGTTTTTGAAAAATGAAATACTTCAAGGTATATAAATATCCTGTATTTATAAAAAAACAAAGAAAACACTGCTGTATAAACATTTGTTTATATTTTTTTTTGTTTTTCAAACCATATATACCTTGAAGAAAGTCGTCTTCTGGGTTTTGGCGCCGTGTATTCTTCATTTTGGCTGACGTTTCGGAGGAACGTATCGCCTCCATATTCAGAGCAGGTGAATGGCTTGGAATGCAGAGAGCAGTAGCTGTAGTGATAGAAGTGAAAGGCGCTGCTTATATACAAAGTAGGCAGGGGGGTGGTTAGGGAGAACGGACCAATAGGAGCAGTGGAGAGCGATTAAGGCCATATATGGTGTTGTGTGCTAAGGGAGGGGGAGAACGGCAGGTGAATCCAGGAAACTTGAGTTCAATAGCACTAGGAAGTTGCGGTAGACAAGAAGAACCGGTTGGTTGGGGACAGGCCACCAACACCATATATGGCCTTAATCACTCTCCACTGCTCCTATTGGTCCGTTCTCCCTAACCACCCCACCTGCCTACTTCGTATATAAGCAGCGCCTTTCACTTCCTATCACTACAGCTACATTCAGCTCTGCTACAGCTACAGCTCTGCATTCCAAGCCATTCACCTGCTCTGAAGATGGAGGCGATACGTTCCTCCGAAACGTCAGCCAAAACGAAGAATACACGGCGCCAAAACCCAGTAGACGACTTTTTTCATAGTCATCACGGTGAAAACCTCTAAACTTACATATATAAGTTATTTATAGCACACAACAGGATGCACACTATTAATATAGGAAATACTTTGTTGTATAAATGGAATTCGGATCTGATATGAAATCGGTAAAAGCGCAGTTTATGGAGGCGTCGCGCCGTCTTCCCCCTCCCCCTACCTCCTGGCGGTACACAGGTGCTACTCCTTTGACATATGGCGTCTGCATCCACTGTAGCTTCTCTGTATCGATGACACATCAGTATGTAAGGTGGACTCAGCATAATGCAGTACATAGACTGAAACACTGTAGTATAGCATAGCGGTACTAAAATTGTTCATTAATTAATATAGAACTATGATGGATAAATTTAAATTGTAATGTTTATACAGCTTACAACACGACGAGGGAGTTCTGCTGCCCTTAATTTATAAACATGTTTTATTATTATGTACTTCCTAAAAATGGAAGCCAAATTACGTTCCTAAGGCTCTCGTACCTCGTCGAACTCGCAGTGGGCTACTTGTCTGTATAAAAGGAATTTTCTCTTCTTTTGTCTACCGCAACTCAGCACCTCAAACATATAAGCCTTAAAGTTACTGTCGGACCTTGATAAGAGGTTTTGGAGGTTTTCTTAATGAATTAAGTAATTAATTAATATGATTTACCTAACGACCATGTCAGTAGCTCAGGGTATATGATGACTGGCGAATAATGAATTAGAACTGGGGAACAATTGACATTTGCCTGGAGAGCCTGAGAAAATCCAGGAATAACGGCAGTCAAAGATAGCCGGTCTCTCAGCGGAGATTTGAAGTCGAGACTTCATGAATACGAAGCATGAGTAAAACCCACTCGACCTTGGCTTTCGATGTTCTTGTTGCTATAACAATTATTATTATTATTATTACTACTATTACTATTACATAGGCAAGGCCGCGCCATAGCTCAAGCGGTTGGTCGCTGGCTTCCCACCGCGGCGGCCCGGG